AGAGGCAGAGAGACAGAGAGACAGAGAGAGAGACAGAGAGAGAGACAGAGAGAGAGACAGAGAGAGAGAGACAGAGAGAGAGACAGTGAGAGACAGAGAGGGAAAAAGAAAGAGAAAGAAAGAAAGGAAGAAGGACAGAGAGAGAAAGAGAGAGGTGGAGACAGACAGGCAGACAGAACACATGCAGAAAGATCAATTGCACTCTGAAGAAAAGTCAGACAGGGATAATGACACTCAGACGAGACGTAATATGAGCTATAATTTGTCGGAGGTCTAACCTGGTCTGTCAAGATCTCTGGTGGCGTAGAAATTGTAGGCTTGGTTGATCGAGTGATAAGGAGCTCCTGCCGGTGCGCCAGCTGTGGCCTCCGTGCTGGAGACATTGAGACAGAATAAGTGAGACATCGTGGGGAAGCCAGACGCTCGTCAAAATAATGGGATGAAAGAAATCAGCATTTAATGTTTAGCCCGTTCGGCAATGTTTATCAATTTCTTTCTTTTTACGTAGGCTGGGGAGAGGGGTTTGAGTCAACACCTTTTAGGTCTGCTTAAAAGCACGTTCTTGTATGTATTTTGCCGAAACACATTGATGTAAGACACACAGAATGTGCATTTGATGTTTCTAAGGACTCTCAAGCTTCAGGAATAACCATACTTTTGCGGCTATTTTTTAGCAAATTTTACTTCTGAAAGCGGGCGAACCCCACCTCTTTCAGAGGCAAATATCTCGAATTCTATTCAAGATATATTTGTATTCCCCCCCGAAAGCAAAACAAATGAACAAGGTTCAAGATGATGATATCCATAACTCTACATGCCCAAATATTGACGAGCGCCTGATTCCACCTCGTTGTGACAGAATTAGGTCGTCTTGACCCACATTGGTCAGAGCGGGGAAACTTATTTTGCAGGTGATAGGTTAGGGTTGTGGTGGGACGGGGGGATAAAGGGAAACAGGGGATGAAGGGAGAGGGGGATAAAGAGGGGATAGTGTTGTGGGGGTTATGAAGAACGGGAAAGTGAAGGGGTGGGTATAAAAGGGGGCTGAGATGGGTGGTGATGAACGGGGGAAGAGGTGAGGCACCGAAAGGTCTGTTTTTCGGCCATTTTGAAGAGTTTTTTTCCTAACATCACGTTCTCTACCTTTTGCTCCTAAACAATTATCTCTCACGGGCTGCAAATTTGAGCAGAATTGACCTCATTGTGTATTGCTAAGTCTCTTCGCGAAGCGTTTAAAATTTCCATTCTCGGAAGGGGGAGTTTATTTTTATCTTTTTATGATAAAAAAAGAGAATTCTACGCAAATCTCCAATGTGCTGCTGGAATTATGGATCCCACTTAGCATGGTTGGCCTGAAGAAGCAGCTCTCCTCGTAAAAGTATCTACATTATTTCAACGGGGACGTAAGACACTCAACAACATTCAACATTGAACATGCATAATATACCATGTTGACATTATACCAGGTTTTTTTTAACCTAATTTAATTTTTGCAAAAGTTTTTGAGATCTAAAATATCTCAATGGCCTTCATTATTTTCTGCAAACCTTTTCTTTACAGGTGTAACTCCTTTGTTAACCATTCAAAAAGCATGATTGCAAAACGCGGGGATATCTCATTAGATTTAAACAGAATATTCTGACACTTCTTGAGTTTCTTTGGAAGTGAGGATCAGATTTACCCTAGAAACGATGGAAATGTCTGATTAAATGCCAAAGCTATACAAAAATAATTAGGTTTACAGATTCTCATGAAAAAGGTATCTAAGATATTACGAAATGCTCGCTTTCAAAATGACTTTGGATATTATTCACTAAACTGCTGGGAATACGGTCGCTCTGACAAGCCTGTGTTTACCTACGTGCATTACATAATCACAATTATAGTTCGAAACCCAGGCATTAATAGGACCTAGGCAGGCCAGTCGTCCTATCATTGTGATAAATAGTTGGATTAAATAAAATAGGCTGTCACGATCTTAAGAATGTGATAGACCGGGGTGTGGCGTGTACTCGTGCTGGGCAGCCAGGTTCCCGATTATTGAAAGCTAAGAATCGTAGGAATCGACTCCGAACCCAATTGCATGTACTTAGTTTCTAATGGTGGGATTTCTTCAGGTGGTTACCTGGTGGGCTCGAAACATCTTCAGGATTTAGGATAACCTTGATTTCGGAACACTACAAAGCATCAACTTTTTTTGTTTTAAATACAAACTCTTAAAAAAACCGAATATTGTAATGATTAAAGTTACTGGTAACCGTTGGTTTACCTAAAAAGGAGTCGGAACATTTCTTCCGCTGCATTAATCGTGGGCATCGGTTCTGGATTCGCCCAGTTCTGGCGTGTACTGAGTAAATGCCGATTCACATGCAGAGGTGTGCGGCGACGGAACTGAGACGACATGGTGGAAGTTTCCGGAAATATCACATGATTGCGATGTTTGTGAGCGAAAGTGTAGCGGAGAGGTGTCCTTGTTTTGTTATACGGTAGCGTCACACAAGGATGGATTTTGCCGAACAAGTTCGATAAGTTTTTAATGAATTGCAGTTGAAAACTTCATTTTGCTCACTATTGGTGATCAATAAACCTTAGACAGCTAGACTCTTGATCTACAATCAATCTCCGCTTGCCGTCTGTCTGCTGGGATGCTATTTCCCACTCAACCCGGGTTGGCCGAGACGAGATCTTGACATTGCAGAATACAAAACAGCAAGTGTGACTTCAAAGTCAAATCAAGCTCTCGTCAATATGATAGGGTCGAAGAAACCCATATTTTTCCGATAGTTAGGCAATTTTTTTCGATTTTTCTTCTTCACGTTTCAAGTTAATTTAAAAACACATTTTTGAGTGAATGTTTATAGAAAGACGTAAATCAAATACAGAGAAAAATTGTAAATCTACTGTTTCCAATGGCACCCAGGCTTTGAAACTCATCAAACTTTGTGGCCATTTTACCGCTTACTTTACTATGGATGTCAAGCGATGTCCACTTCCTTCCTGCAAATATTTCTACTTCTGTACATGATAGATGGGTGGTGTTTTATCAAAAGCAAAACAAGTGAACAAGCTTTAGTTAAGATGATACCAATGATCCTGAATGAGGAAAAATTAAATAAATGATTAAATGAATAAAAAGTACAAGGGTCTAAAAATACCGTGTGGTGTCACAGTTTATAAAACAAACTAGATCTTTATATAGTATCTTTTTTTAACCCTTTCATTCTGACTCTCCAAAAATGAAGCATTGCAAATTAAAAAGTACCCCCCCCCCCCTTTCCCGTTATTTTGCGGATAGACGTCAGATATCAAATTAACTAGTCTTGTTTTCACAATCTCCTTTGAACAAAGCAACAACTTAAAACGGAAAATTATAATCATGTATGGAGAGTTATCAGGGTATGGAATTGTATACATTGTAGAAGGCTTGTAACTATATTATGTTTTATTAAAGTATCATGACACATTCCAAACGAGACTTTAAAAAAAATTATAAGGTGCATATCATTCATAAGCACTTTTGTAGAGTACTTGGTGAACATTTAGTAATGATATCTTAAGCACGACAGAACAATGGATAAATTCCATGAAATATATTGATACAAATAGGCCAGGAAAGAAAAGTAATCATTGAGAAGGGGGAAATAATCTGTAAAAAAAACAAACGTCGGGATGGGCAGAGAGCAAAGGGGCAAGGGGCATTAGGGTGGTACGATATTATGAAGAATAAAAGACAAATACAGTTTCTTTGAACGGGCTTATCTGTCTTCTTTGCGTACCCTTGCTCCATCTCAGGGGATGTCGACTGCTGGTTCCTCAACCTACTGTGCAACATATTTTTACGCATGTGACAGTTTTTCCTACTTGAAAGGGCCCCTTGCCACATTCCGATTTCGAAGGGACTATGTTTTTATACTGACTAGAGTATAGAGCATTTTCATGAGCAGGGCTTATGAATCCTACTTTTACTAGAAAGTTGTAAGAGTTGAAGAAAAGCTTGATATGGTTTCACAAAATGATGTGCGTATATATTGTAATGATAAAACGACAGGATGCCAGGGCTAAGGATGTAGAATTATTTTGCCAGATATACGGAGGGAATGTCATGTAGGCCTACTGGCCTTTGGAGAAGAACTAGAATTCTCCCTTGATTAAAAGAAAGTATGTTTTCTTACACAAGGTGTATTCAAAGTTACAATAGGATCGGTTCGCCAATGACGTAGGTTTGTTTCTTTAATCATACAAGATGTTCATGGTAGTGGCACTCCGATTCTACCACAGAGGTTTTTTTTTAGAAATTAAGAGATGAGCTTCAGATTTTCTTTTTCGTATTTCTGGATGCTGGGAAGTATAAGTGTAAAATATATAATAGCCAAAAAACAACAACCCAAACAAACAAACAAAACAAACCAAACCAAAACAAAACAAGAATAATCTCCCTAAAAAGGGGTTGAGGAGGGGGCGTGGGAGGGAGAGGTAATCTCTTTAGTCAGAGAAGATCCGATTATGACTAGAGGGAAAAAATAAGAGCCTGCAGCGAGAGCTTAGTGCAGCTGTCTTGTACTGACTCCCTTTTTATTCTCCCAGTTCTGACGTAAACAGCTCCTCTGAAAGCAATGAATACCAGTCGCGAAGAACTGGAGTTAAAACAAACTGACAAAACTCATTAACCATACATATTTTGAGCTCAAAGGAAAGAGTCTTCACCAGCCTTACCTGCTGCTGTGCTAGACACTTCTAAATATGGGAAATTGGAGTTACAACAAGAATAACATCGTCACTGTCACAAGCAATCCACTTAAGTCCAAATTTGGAAATTTTTCGATTTTTACACTCGCCCAAACCTCTCTCAAACAGGTGAACTTTAGTAAAATCACCGAAATACAGCTAAATGCTCTGAACAAAGCTTACAATTTTGTTGTTGCTTTTCATGATTCCTGATAGGAATAATACGCCGAAAACATTTTTGTTTTCTTTCTGATTTTTTAAAAAACATCCCAAACTGACTTTTCTGTATTACTTGTGTCACCGACGACATTCAGCCCGCTACATCCTAGGCAGACCGTAGACAATTCGGTACAAAGAGAATGCATGATATCTTTGGAGACGAGCAGCTCGCGACAGACTAGGTAGACTATGATACGTACAGCACCAAGGGAATGCATAATATCTTTGGAGACGAGCAGCTCGCGACAGACTAGGTAGACTATGATACGTACAGCACAAAGGGAATGCATAATATAGTTGGAGAAGAGGTATAAATAGTGTGTTTGTACTTGTGTGTGTGTATGTGTGTGTGTGTGTGTGAACATGAGTAAGTGTGTGTGTGTGTGTGTGTGTGTGTGTGTGTGTGTGTGTGTGTGTGTGTG